AATGGCTGGTCATGTAGAAAACATGGGGATGACAAGATCTAAATGCATGCCATCCAGAGTTTCAACCATGTCTTGTTTTGGGGTTTGTTTAGTATTTGTTTTTGGTACTGAGGATCCAACTCATGACCTCGTGCTTGCCAGGCAGAGACATGCCACTGAGCTAAATCCCAGTCCTCTTGTTTTTTATTCTAATTGCAGTTCTACTTTCAGAAACACTTAGTACCTCTAATTTCTTGACATTTCTGGTGTTGTATAGTCCAGTAGTTTCAGCTAATGCTAGGACAAATTTCAACTTTATTTGGAAAAATAAATGATCACTCAACCATATGTGTCAGAACTTCTAATCATATGTGGCTACAATGTCTTTCCCTGGTACTGTATTTTTATCATCTTAATATAATTTATGGCATTTTAACAAGGAAAAAATTCAACAGTTATTTGAACTCTACCATATTTATCTTATTATAAAGAAAAATATTACAACTTAAAAGTTATTCAAGAGAAAGCACAGCCATCTTCTAAGATGCCAAATATCTGCAAAGTGTTGTGAATGGGTAGCATCTACATAGAGTAGTCTATTCAAAAAAATTACCAAGGAAGACATTTTCAGATTTAAAAATACTACAGAAAAAGCTAAAAGGATGCTATCTGGTTGTATCTCCATACATAAAACAGGAGATATACAATAAAAAGGCAAATACTAACAGGGGCAAAATGTCTATAAATTTAATGATTGATTGTTTATCTATTACATTTATTTTTTAAAACCTTTAGAAGATACCAACATATAAAGTGATCAAAATATTTGTGTTTTCATTTAAAAATCTTATTAGTGCATATTAATTACCAAAAATACTGTGTAGTTTTAACAGACTCGTACACACATTCAACATTCTCTGATTATTTTCCCTCCCACTCCAAGGCAAGGGACAGAATCCTGATTTTCACAAGACTCCTCTAATTCCCACCCCCTTCTGTGGAGACTCCCCCTCACCTTTCTAGCTGGCTTTTATTTTTAACCCCACATATGAGAGAAAATATGTGAGATATCATTTTCTAAGTCTGGCCTATTTTGCTTGAGATTATGACCACCTGTTTCATCTACTATCCCTGAAAATGATCTGATTTTGTACTTAGAAAATATAATTTTTTAAAAAACATCATTAAATGTATGCTTTAAAAAATAAAAGTGACTATTTACAAAATTAGGAAAGCTCATTTCCAAAAGCAGCAAAACAGAGAAAATTATTTTTCAATTTTTAGTAGTACCAAAATTACTACTAAAAAGAGTAACAATGTAGAAAGATGATGCTATTTTGATAAAATTCAAAATAGCATGACAAAATTAAGTTCAAACATGTCAGCTAATTAAAATGTAAACAACTCAAAGTCATCTATAAAAAAACAAATTGCAAATAAGATTTTTAAAAAGTATGACCGGTATGACCATCAGTGACACAGAAGTTAAAACAAAATATTAATAAGGACACATATCGTATAAAAGTTACATTCAACAAGAAGTGGAATAAACTTAATTTATTTGCAACAAAGAACTCAGTCTGGAAATATGTAAAGAAAACCCGTCACAAATACAAGAATTACTTACTTCCATAATATCATTTTGAGATTTTATGTAAGAAAGAACAGTCAAAATGAACTATTATTCAGAATATAGCTATGAACAACTTTTTAAGAAACTGTAGCTGGCAATACAGCTCAGCACAGTGCCTGCCTGGCAAGCATGAGGTCATGAGTTCACTTCCTGGCACCAAAAAAAAAAAAAAAAAAAAAAAAAAAAGAGAAAGGAATTAAAAAAAACTACACCTACATGAAGAAGGCCCTTGGTGCTGTCTCCAGTGTCAAAAACAAAGCAACCAAACAAAAAAGATTAAGAAGAAAAATCTTGAGCCTGATCTAATAAATACATGCAAGTCTCCTAAAGAGATGGTGTATATATGTTATTAAAATCAAACTCACCATGTGTAGATTTCAGTGACTATATTTTTATTTTTAAAATAATGGGCAATACATAATAGTATATGAAAATAGCACAACAACTCATAATAAGGATCTGAAAAGTTAATGTCGCTTTACTGCTAATGCTAAAATATACTGGAGATTACAATGAGAATTAGAAAAACAGAAGTGAGAAAATTCAAAATATATTATATATGTGTTTGTATTTCTTTGTTTTATTCTAAAAAGAAAAACAAAAAATGATAGAAATGATTCAGAATTTCAGAAAAGGGAAATTAATATTAAGTAATATATTGCATATTGTTATTTTAAAAGTAGTTGTTCAGGTTACAAGATGTAGGCACAAAAATGTTCAAACAATCAAACCATGAAAGCACAAAGTGTTTTTTGATAAACTAAGAGATTAGTATTATAGCTATCTATCTATTATACATATAATATTTTCCTTTCTTCCTTCTCTCCTTTCCCCTAGCCCAGTTGTTCTTTCCTATACTCACTTTCTTTCTTTTCATTATCACAATTTGTACGGTACATTTGGATCTTACTACTGTTTCAGTTTTTTTTACACTAAGGAGACAATATAATATTTACAAATGTGAGTTTGATATATTTCACTTATGAGTCTCAAGTCGCATTCATTTACCTATAAAAGCCTCAAGATTATTTTTCTTAATAGCTGAGCAATATTCCATTGTATAAAAATATCACATCATGTTTCACCCATTCCATGGTTGATGGGCATTTCTGTTGTTTCCATGATTTAGCTATTACAAATTATGGTGTTGTACATATAAATGCACATATATTGCTGTAGCACGTTTTCAATTTTTCTGGAAAAATAACCTGAAAATAAACAGCTGTATTGAATAGGACTTCCAACCCTACTTTTTAGAGGAATCTCCAAACTGATTTTCACAGTGGCTCTGCCACTCAGGCTGCACTCTCACCAACAGTGGAGAAGTGTTCCTCTTTCCCTACAGCCCCACCAACATATGTTGTCATTCATTTCTTGATGGCAGCCATTCTTTCTGCGCTTAGATGGAGTTTCAATGTTGTTTTAATTTGCATTTCTCAAATGACCAGTGATGTTGAACATTTCTTCATGGTTTTGCCATTTGTATTTCTTGATCTGAGAAGTGCATATTCATCTCAGATGCTCATTTTTGGACTGAGTCTTTGAATTTGGGGGGCCTGATGTTTTTCAACTGTATTTCTGAAATATAATAATTTCAAAATCAGTTCAGTGCATCTAAAGTGTCAGCTATAAACATAGCATTATATGGACCTATTGTAAGAGATAGGATTGAAGATGAATGAGTAATATATTCACCTCAGGAAGCTAAGGAAAGGAAAATAGTAAGTAAATTAAAAATAAAACAAATTAAACTACTGAAATATTTTGGAAAACTACATAGGAAACATAAAAACCAATCAATTTTTATATTATTGGCTTAATTATCAAATATAGGCTACAAACTAGTACATATAATAAAATGATTTTGCAAAGTGACTGAATAAATAACCATTAAAAATCACCACTGCTATAATGCATCACCAATTTCCCCAAATAATATAACAGGGAAACTCATTCATAATGAAAACAAAATTCATAAGGTACCCAGGAATGAAAATAATAGTAAATGTGCAATATAATCATGAAGAAAATTATAAATCATGATTGGAGGAACATAATAAGTGAATAAATTATAAAATATACTATTCCCAGGCCTGAGTGAGAGTACTTTTAGAATGTTAATCTGAGCCTGGTGTGATGGCACACACCTGTGAGCACTGAGCACTCAGAATCTAGGAGGCTAAAGAAGGAAGATTGTCACCAGTTTGAGGTCAGCCTGAGCTATATAGTGTGTTCAAGGTAGCCTGAACTGCATAGCAAGACCCTGTCCCAAAAAATAAAAAAAAAAGTAACCTCAAATTAATATACATATTCATCAAAATCCCCATAGATTGTTTTTCATGCAATTGATAAGATAAATGTAGTGAAGTTATGACTTACAAAAGTTTAAAGAATAAGGTAGAAGAGTGTGCCTCTTCTCACATCTATCAAATACAAAGCAATAGAAATTAGTAATCTGTTAACTAAAAAAAAGATAAAAGCAAAACAAGTATGAGCTGTGAGAATTAGTGTATTATACAGATGATTTGCAAACCTACTGTCCCCACCAGCCCTTTGAGAATCTGGAAACCTTTGTTATTAGTGAGTAGTCTCATTCCCTAGGAAAAAAATTGCAAGTCCTGCATCCTATTTCCCTGGAAACAAAGCACTGCCCTCTCCACAAACAGCTAATCCAGACTAAGACAATGCATTTCTCTTAGGAGTTTATCACTGAGACTCAGAAAAATCTAACAAGTAACCCCTTTGACATAGATAATCAGGATGTGAGACCACTCTTGGAGAATTCTATTTTAGGGACTACATATGTTGCAGAGTAAGTGGAAAGAAAAAGCTAACTGATAAATAATGAAGTTGATGCAGAAAATGGTGGGACAGGGAAGAAGAAAGAACAGGAAAGTCAGCAGAGACTCTTTCTGATGAGTTTCATTGGCTGGGTCTTTCATTAGTTACGCATTTTTGCTTTTAACCTTAGAATTGTCTTACTTCCGTATTTATGGGATTTTGTTTACTGTCAACTGAAGAAATTTGAGTGAAATAGGCCGACTCCTATTGGCCTTAACAACGTTCAGTGGTGATGCTCGATTTTATAAAATACCACAGGCTTCTTTACTTTCAAGCATAAAGTGAACATCTTTATAGACACATAAAACTAGTGCCAGTGATAGTTTTGCATTATACAAAGAGAAGACATAGGGGAAAAACTGCCTCTCACAAACTATTTCTTTGCATCATCTTTGTGTGTTTAAGGTTAGCTGAGGTCACTAGAAGCTTTGCTAATGCTTTCAGTACAACTATGCTAGCTTTTTGCTAGGATATTCTGTGGTGTTTACTAACTAGAGTAGTATCCCACTTTTTTTCATTGCTGAAACAAAATAGCCAATACTCAAAGTTGAAGGCAGAAAGATTTATTGTAAAGCTCACAGTTGATAACTGGATGGCTCCAAGACAGGGTGGCGTGGCAGAGGGGCATTACAAAAGAGAAACAGCTTATGGTGGGCAGAAAGCAATGAAGATTACTTCACGCAGAAGCAGCAGCAGCAGCCTGCTTCCCCTTTTATCCAGTCCAAGTTTCCCACCCTTTTGGTGGTGCCCCTCCCCATGACTAGGGTGGTCTTACCATCCACACCCAGAACTATGGTAGTGGTGGGCTAACTTATTAATAACCCTCCCTTATTCCCAGCATCACACATCGAATCCCAACATCACGCATGGATCAAGCTAGCTCTGAGAAGCCCCACCCATGAACACACACAACTTTGGAGGAACATTTAGACAAAAGCCACAACAAGTAGTTTTTAGAATAAGCTTCAAATACAAATATCTATTAAGAAGTAGCAGAGGGAAAGTTCCATTGTCATTTACCTCGCAAAGAAATTCTAGTATGAAGAAAGGCCAAAAGTTAAAGACATTGCAAAAGTCAACAAAGATGTGGTAACACTGATTCTACTTTTAAATGACTTTGCCTCATTTTGTATTTTGTGCTGTTCATTTACTCTTCATTTAATTTACTATTCTAATAGTATTGCCTTACTAGAAATTATTATAGTGCCATAACACAACCTAGATACTATTCTACAACTTTTTATTTCTCTTTTGATAAGCAGGCTACATATTATAGTTTCTAGCAACATTAGCATTTTCAGTAATGCACAGTGGCCACTACAACCTTTACAAAAGCTTCATTGTTTTTGCTTATTTTAGATCATGGAATTTTCATGCCCTGAGCCCTTCAAGTAGGCTGAATATCTGGTTCCAGAATGTAACAATACTTAATCACCTAATGACAGTGTGTAAATGACTCCTGTACTTTCTAATAAATTTTCTCATTGTCCTCTACATTACTTAATCTTCAAAGATATGACTTTACTTGAGCTGATCAAGGATCTGGTACATTTACTCAACAATATAGATATTAATAATATAGATACATTACAGAGTTATATTTTATGACCTTAAAGACAGTCTTTAGCTTATTGATAAAAGAGTTTGGCTTGGAATTTGTTCCTCTGGTTTATGTGACGGAGTTATTTACATATAGTGGCTACATTGTTGTCTTGAATGTTTAGGCTGATCTTATTATTTGTCATCTAAGCCATGATAATTTTCCAAGTTAAAAGGTGCTGTTAATTAAAGAAGGATACACAGCATGAATAAGCATTTTAACTATCATGTTAAGATATATCCTAATCCTCGCTCTTATGCATACAAAAGGAATTTGAATGGTTTTATTGTTATTCCTTTGATCTCTAAAATTAAAATGATAAAAAGATAGACAATCTCTTAAAATGTTCACAAAACCAAGCAGTCTTTTGTCCATGATTCTTCTGTTCCTAATCTAAACTCCTGGTTTTGAACTGGTCACAGGATATTACAGTTACTGCTTTATGACTCTCTTTTACTATATTCAAGTTAGGTAAAATATCTTATTCCACATTGTTTGTAACCTAGAAGGAATCTAGCAAGTGTTTTTTTGAACTGAAATTATTTAAATAAAAATTAATAGAAATGAATAGAATATTTTAAGAATTTTAGATTTTGAGAAGCATTAATAAAGACGGAACTATGCAAGAAATGTGATGTGCCACACATAATGTACTTACATGAATGTAATACCATATAGCATGTTGACATAGAAGTGTGCAATTCATTCAGTAATTCTGTGTTCAGAATGAAGAGAGAAATGTCGTACAGTGGTTAAGAGAATCAACCCTGGAGAAGGCTTGCTAAGTGTTCAAATATAGACTTTACCATGTACTATACCTGGTAGCTCCATGACCTTGGAAAATTAATGCTGTCTTCTGTTTCAACTGTACTTCTCCCATCAAATTCTGACAAATATTATTTCACATAAAGCTTACAACTCGTGCGCGATACATTATAAACTTTCAATATAATCCAGTTTTGCTATGGATATTATTATTATTATTAAAAATTGAATGTCATGTACACAGATCAGTGGACACACACATATGCTTTACTCAAAAATTAAACTAAAACTATAACTTGATACCTTATTTATGCTATAAGTATTATACTTTAATATTTTAAGAATGGACTGATATCAATAGCCCAAATAATTCACTTGACAGGCACTAACTAGCTTAAACTGAAGTATAGGTTTGACCCAACACATTAAAGACTGTGAAATAAAGGTGAAGAAAACATGAAATCTCTTATCTCCTACCTTGTTTTCTTTTCCAAATTTTAAAGATTGAAAATTTATTTAGAATATTTCCACTTGCAATTATTTCAAAAGTAAATGACATTCTTTAACCTTTGTTCCATCCAGGTAGGTGTCATTATAGTTTTACTTAAAATTAAAAATTTTTATGCATCAATAAAAAAGCAATTGAACTTCCCAAGGATTCATTTACTAACAAAATTAATTTTTTGCAAAAATAAGCAACATTTACAAAAGTTTATGGAATAATTTAAATGTTTTATATCTTTTTCATTTTGATATTTTAAAATTTTTATTTTACTAGTACTTGTAAACAGTACATGGAGTTCACATTCAATTTAGGGAGTATGTACATGTGCATGTACATAAAGATACATTATGTTATGATTTTTGTGTTTCTTACTTAAAATATTTTATCAATGCTTACAGAAAAGCCTCCTACATAAAATTAATAAAAATATATTGTGAATTACTTAACATAGAACATTTCTGTTGTTGTATGAAGAAACTTAAGTACTAACAGAGTATGTCTTTAGAAAACCTTAAGTCTGTTTTAACTCAGAGTCATGTTAACTAATACAAGATGTTAATGAATTCCATAATGTAATATACATGCACTTGGCTTTCACACTATTATATGACACTTATTTACATTTATTGCATATTGTTTTCTTAGGACTCAGCCTATTTTGGGACTTAAAAAATAGGCATGTTTTTGTGTTATTTTAATTTTATATATAATCCTAATGAGATGAAACTCCTCCAAATTTTGCAGAGGATAAATATCCAAATTTTATATATATCACAAGATATAATATTTAAATATTACTATGTTCCTGTCATTTATCGGATGTCATACCAGGTGTGTGTGCTTGTGTGTGTATGTAAATCAGATGAATGTTTTTTTTTTTTAATTGAAAATCCACTGCTTATTTTTTTCTAGTTTGCTTACCTAAAGTTTGACATGTGGAACAGGTGTGAAATGGAGAGATCAGCCTTTTCTAAAGGGCACGACAGCAGCTGAGAAGATTGTGTTTCATGCACTTTAAACCTTGTGATGTTTGCTGGTTTTAAACTACTAAGTTAGTTTATGTGAAAACATATCTTGTTTTGTTAATTTTCTAGTTATCCAGCAAATAAACATAGATATTGTTGTGCTTTTTGTATATAATATATACATTATTTTCTGTATATTAAACTTTAGAATTGAAGAGCAGGAGGGGAAAACCTTTGTGCTTGTCATGAGCCGAGAGTTCAGTCAAGGTGGGCAGGCAAATGTTCTGTGCATGCAAGGAGGATGTTAGTGTTGCAAGAGAAATGAGACTAGAGACCTCATACTCTGAAATACTAGGATATTACAATAGGCTACTACAAAAGGATGACAGCTTGAACTGTTCTTAGGAAAATGTGTAGAATTAGGTATGAGGAGAAGGGTAGAAATAATCAAAGGTGTCCTTTAGGCAGAAGGATACATGCAAGCAAAGTCACATTGTACACACATAAAGTCATATTCTGAGTTGGGTAAGAAGAACAATGCACCAAATTCAACCAAGATGAGAAATTTAATTAGGCAATATAATCTGTTACAATATCAGATCCGAGCCATCAAGACCAAATGCAAATGATTTCTTCACAATCCTCTCTTGACTTATCGATGTCTCCTTCTTTATTATCATGAATATAAAGAAGTAAGTATATTAGAAAAAAATAGGGATTTTTAATTCAATTTTAAAACAATGCATTGTTTCATATTTAAAAATGAATATACTTTGTGTGCACTTAACAAATTAGAAATAATGTAAAATTATAACCTGTACTTTATTTTTAGAACTCTTGTTTAATAAGGTTTTAGCACACTACAATAAACACATTTCTCGGAAATATGTGTACATTTAAAACTAGATTGAAAACCTCGTGAAAATTTCATGAGCATTTTTAAGAGATTTGAAAAATCTTGTGGGCACATTGAATCAATGACTAAGTCTATTTCTTAGTACAAAAAGTAAATTATATTGTTCAGATTTCTATTATTTTTTGAAACATAAAAAGTATAAATTTAATCAAATAGATAAAAATAACATTTTAGTCATTCTTTCTCTATAGATACCTAAACAAGGAGATATCTGGAGAACATGAAGTCACAGTGACTTCCAAACTTGTTGAGGAATCTAAATCCGTCTTATTCTTCAATTCCACAGGAACTCGCCAAGACAGGATTCAAATGACAATGGAAGATCCCTATTTCCCAGTTCAATTTCCATATTCACTCAGTGAAAACTGAGGAATCAGTTAAAATAGACAAATCAATGGAGGGACCCACCTACGTCTTTACTGGTTCTGTAAGGTGTTTGTTTTTTTGTTTTTTTTTTTTTTTTTTTTTATGGTTCTGTTTACTTTTTTAACTTATGTGCCTGCAAATAGGGAGCTTAATATGACAAAAGACAAATGAATTTGAAATAATGTTCATACAGGAAAACATATGGAGAGAACACTATGAATGCTTTTGAAAAAACCCAAAATAGTTGTTTCCCCAAATTTGACTGGATATGTTTAAGTTTTCCATTTAACTGGAAGACGGGTTTAAAATGACAAAAATTCTGTTTCTTTCATAAAATGATATTAAGTATACAAATATAAATATTCCATGAAATAATCCCCTATCACAATAGTGAAGCTCATCACAGTAACATGGTTCTATTAACACAATTTTCATTAATATTCAAGAGTCACTTCCACCTTACTTGTTCATTTCCTTTTGACTGAGTAATATTTTGTAACATCGATGGTTATACGAATCTGAATTTTTAAAAGATATGTCTTTTTACTAACAACTAGAGCCTCAAGGAAATCAGAGATGTTGTGATTATGTTGTATTTCTTGCTCAGCTTCTGAATGAAATGTGCCATATACCCCTCTGTTATCTCTCCTACAACTTCCTCCATTGGCCGTTAACCAAATACTTGGTAACGCATAGTATAGGTAGCTATGATTAAAAGATGACCCCTAACATAATCACTCATAGCCAAATCTTTATGCTGGTTCTTTCTGAGGCCTTCTTTTCTTGTTCAACCCAGTGAAATGACCAAAACAGGTTACAAAAGTCTAACTTTTTTTCTAGCAGTAATTTCACAAGTTCATATGACTTCATGTAAATTTCCTTAGTATATTTTTGTAAAATAAGTTCAGGAATCAATTATTTCTTCACTGCATGCAAAAAACACACAATATAATATTTTAAATCTTTTGAAATTCTGATTCTTCTTGCTATAAATGTATCTGAAGGATTGGAAAATATGTTGCCAAAAGTCATAAAAGTTTTTTAAAAGTTATATTGTTCTTTTATGGGAATAATTCCAGTTTGGTCACCTGTGTTCATAAAGTAGTACAGTATCTTTTGTATTAATGTGACAGAAATATTGACTAAAACTCTTAAAAATGTAGAAGAACTAAAGAAAGAGTAAACTTGATTCCATTGTAATTTGGAATTGTCAACAACAGTATCAGGACAGCCATTTTAGAGATAATTTCTAGGTAATGCTTTAAAGTATTCCACTAGTGCTTAATGAAAATCCACTTTATCAAACAACCAAATATTTGCTCTAAGTTCCACTTCAAGATATTTATATTTGGTCAACTAAAGAGGTAAAGCCAAGCATTCATTTTCAATGATACTTCAGAGTATCATGCAATGAGTGCATTGGGAAATAGTTGTGTTAGCTAATGAAAATGAAAGAAATCATGACTAACAAATGAAAGTCAGTCTAAATGTGTCATTATTGTTCTGTTTTTCATAAATATATAACTCTCTGTGGGGTAATAAATACAAATATTACCTACCAAACTTACTTTTTGGTAAATGGAAGATCAATGTTATATGTTTCATGAAATAAATTCCTATGAAAAAGGAATCATCCAAATAGGCTCCTTCTGTGTGACATTCTTATAATGCTTCAGACCAAAGGATCATACCTATCCCCAGAAATAGCTGTGCAAACTGTCAAAGAAAGTACCATGCCATAGAACAGAACATACTATTTTGCCTATTATAGCCTTCAATATAGTTGAAACAAATTGTATATAAATTTTTGTATCATTGCTGCCTAAGTAAATAATTATTTTACTCCTTTCGCTATAGATAATTATTATTCTTTCATTCTTCAATTATCATTCAATAGATTTCCACACGTATCTATTTAGGTACTTAAAATTTTGAGTGATTATTTCATAATTGGAATCAGATTGTGAATATCATCAAAGACTAGAAGTTTGTTCTCTAAATATACTTTGGAGGACTGTCCATTGTGATACTATAAGGAAAAGATTTGAACTTTATTTTAAGACAAAAATACTACAACATAGAGCAAAAAATTCATTTGGATATCTTTTTTATTATTATCTGTTAATGATTTATATTTTATAGGTACAGAGTCACTCTGATGTAATGCTTGTGGGAACTGTTCATTTAAATTTTCATCTTCCAATAATAGTTCATATTGAAATTGTTCCATCTATGTTATAGTTTCTCTTTATAAGAGAAAAACATTGTTCAAAAACAAGCTACTCACAAAATTTTGACAAGTTAGAAATTAACTTCCCATTTGGTTCAGTGTTTGTCAAATTGGGCTTATGTTTAAAGTTCAGCCTTTGTAGATAAAAGATACATGCGAATAAAGTCTAACTGTATTGAATATAATGTTTTTCTGTAATTTAACTTCATGTAGTTTAATGCATATGGTGATTTTTTAAAAAGTAAGAAACAGAAGTTGAAGTATGAAATATTGTTAATATATTACAGTCGCAAATGGAAATTTCATGAGCAATTCCAAAAGGACGGAAAAAGAATCCTTTGCCATTGTCCATGTTTTATCTATTTTTAAAAACCACAGGGGGGAAAAGTGCTCACAGCAAAAAAAATGAAGCTTTACTGCAAAAGAAATGAAGGCAAGAAATAGCTCTTTAAGTAGTGAAGAGACGTGAAGCATTGCAACTTCATAGCCTGCTAAGGAGCAACAGCTGTACCTAATTTCAACTTGACGTGCTTCAGATCTCATATTCATATAGGTATTTAATGATCCAGACATAATGGTCCTATATAGAATAATTACTTATATGAAGGAGCAAACTTCATACGCATTCCTTTTTAAATGATCCTTCAAGAGAAAAACTGCACTGGCTCCTTGAACAATGAATAGTCTCTTTCACCAATCCAAATGTTTGAGGCTAAATAGCTTATCTTTTAAGAAAGATTAGTACTAGCACTATGGTTACTTCTTTTTGACAGATTCCTTTTGCCTCCCCTCTTCCCAGTAAAGCCAGTACAACGAGAAAAGGTAAAATGCCAAGCCGATCATTAGGTCATACTGATAGACGGTTACGAGAAATATCAGAAACAAAAGAAAATAAGGTATTCTGGAATTGGCATATTTTGAGAACAGAGATTCACTGCTTTGAATTTCACTTTCCTGGACAGGGAAACCGACAGAAGTAGAGCTCTCAGATCTTCTGTCACCTGAAGAATATTGTGAAAGTCCAGAACTGAACAACTCTTGCTTTTCATTCCTCGCTCCTTTCGTGTTCTCAAGAGGTTCACTAGTTAAAATCATTGGCTCTACAGATTTTTCCACACTGCTTTCTTCTGTTTGGAAAACATGTCCCATGCAACCTGATGAATTTCCTGAACCTGTGAAAGATTCTTTGAGTTTAGACCCCAGATGATCCCGGGGGTTATAATTATCTTCTGATTCAGTAGAAGTAGATTGGAGATTCGTGGTGACAATTGTATTCTCGACAGCTTGTTCATAGGATGCTACTGAAGTTTTAAGATGGTGGTTGGAAATGCTAGAGCCATTCTGAGAAGCTCTGTTTGTGCCTGAGTTAAAAGCAGAGTGAACAACAGTTTCTAAATCTGTTTTCTTTGATAATGTTTGTACATGCCCAAGATTACTATTTTCTGAAAATATTCTTTTGTTTGTTGATAATACTTCCAAGTGTAAATCCAGGTTCGAGCTTCCCTTTTGACTGCTTGTAATGACTTGGGAAGATCCTTCTACAGATGTTATATTTCCAGCACCTTGTTTCTCTCTGTCATGTGTCTCCCCAGGAGTGTACATATGCATGGATTCCTCCTTCTCTGTTTTATCTGTACGTACATTACAAATATTTGAATGTGATTCCCTTTCAAATTCATTGTCATAGATTACAACTGCTGCATCTCGTTGACAAAAGGTATAATGTGAATCATCATTTCTCCCTTCATGTGGATCAAACGCTGTTTCTTTTACCTCGATGGGCCTGTCACTTCGTGCTGTCTCTTGAGGTAGCTTAGCAATTATTGCTTTTTCTCTAGCAGACATGCTTTCTGGGGTACTTTCTGATGTTGTCTTAATTATATAAGCTGCTCCTGCTTGTGCTTTCTCAGTAACACCATGATCAGCTGGAGAATACAGTTCATCACACTCTGTTTCTTGGCAGGTAAACAGCTCTCTTGTAGGAGTAACATTTAAGCTCGTGGTCTCTCCTTTCTCCCACATGTCTTTACAAGCTGCTTGTTCTCTGATCTGCTCTGTTTTATTTGTTGTATTCCCTTTTATCTCTCCCTGACTTTGTAGAATATTCCAATTTTGTCTATGTTGTGACTTTTTACTCCAATCTTCAGGATTAATCCAATCTGATTTTTCTCCTTCAGTTTGGAAAAGATAATCATCCCTCAAAATATTTCTATTTTTGGATGAACTGACTTCCCTAGTTACCCCTTCTGAAACCGTGCCTTTACCAGTGGAGTGACCACTCTCTGGAGCCATTAATGTAGTTTCTTCCCAATTTAAATTTGTCCATGATGAAGGAAACATACCTACTGTTATTGCCTGGCCAGGAACTGAGGCATCTTTGCTTGACAGAGCTGTTGAGCCTGTCTTCCTTGTTTCAGTCCCTTCCACACTTATTTCGGAGTGGCCCAATTTTCTTTCTTGGTCATACAAGGATGAATGAAAATTTTTGCTTTGTTTTTTATTAACGCTTAAGTGGCCTCTTTGTTCCTTCTCATCTTTAATTTTGCTGTAATCTTCCTTCAAAGATCCATTTTTTGATGGTTGTTCAGCATATGCACATGAACTTGCATGGAAATCTTTCCTTAAACATTCCCAATCCTTTATTTCACTTTTCTTATCTCCTCCTTCATGACTTTCATTGAGGTCACCTTCTATTTGTTGATCTGGGGAGGAGCAAGATATTTTCACTCTGACACTCATGTGGGCTGGATTAGCATTATCATCCAAGACTTCTTTGCTATCAATGTGCACTTGCACTGATTCATCACTACTAGTATCTGAAAGTTGATGACTATGTTCATTTCTTGAAGAATATTTTTCATCATCATAAGAGCCTCCCTTTAAGGAGCTTTCTTCCAATGAACTTGGAGACAAAGGACTTTCCAACAAGTCAGTGCATAGTTCACCATGGGTTTTCTTCTCTAACCTCTCAGCCTTATTTGGAAAATTGACTGGATCTGATGATAATGTTTCTTTTTCATCCCTGGAAGCAGTACTTCTAGTTCTTATTAAGTGTTGATTTATCTTATGGGACAAAAACAACAGAAAAATAATAACCATATGTTCCTTTTAAATATACAGAATGAATTAGATAGCTTTTATTAACTTGGTAATTATCTGATAGATATTCTTGACTCTCTTCATTTGTGGATTTCATACAAGCCGGATGTTTTGGGGAGATCCTTGTAGGCTATGACTTGGGAATGAGATTAGTAAGTAAAGGGGCCCAAATTAATCACTCTCCTTCTCAGCCTCCAAATATCACATTGTATTATTCAACTATTCTTGCTTGTCATTGCACTTTCTCCTCACTTAGGATATACACATTGATAGCTCCATGCTAATCAATTAGAGAGCAGCTTCCTGGGTGCCCCGTGCTGCATTTACACTTGCTGTAGGTGCCCCCATTACAGTTTCTCTTATTAATATGTTTTCTGCAAAGCCTCTGCAAACTATTAATAGCAAAACGTCACTCAAAGAAAAGTGAGGGAGTTAATGTCTCTGCAAATTCTGTTTTAATGACCCTCTGCCAACTGGTACTCAAATGTATTTGAGCTCTTCAGTGATGCCAACTGTCAGGATTTAACAGTGAGATGCCTGTGTTTTTTTCTCTCTCTCTCCTCATAACTGACATTTGCATGATCTCAATAATTATATGCAAATCTTACGTTTTCCCCTTCTTCTCACATAAGGCTCATGTTACTTGTCAACTGCACAGCTGTCTTGTAAGCCAATGCCTGTGGGTTCCCAGATTTGGTTGTATTTCCATCTATTATAGAGCTCCATTGTTTTATGCATTAACATCAGCATGGAGCAAATTAGCATCTAAATTACAGCTCCATGTTCATTTATTGGACATACAATCTCAGTAACTTCTAAACAAACTTTATATTTGAGCCTGCTCATTGTAATGAGGTATATTGGTGAAGTGCGTGATTTTTTTTCCAGGGGCCTTTCATTATATTTTGTGGTTTGAAAAAAAATGGCAATGTTAACTTTCAGCTGGTGAGAATTCTCACAATGGGTGACAACTTTGTAGTTTCTTAAAGTTGGAGCAAAGTAAATTGCATACTTTAGTGATGCAGTTGCCATATCACTATAGAAAAGTTAGAAAATGTGGGGAAAGATGAGCTCTATTTCTTTTCTGTTTCAGTGCTGACACTTGAAGAGGCAAATGTCATTTTAATCTTAGATGATTATGAATCCATGTATCCCAATGATATGAGCTCCAACCAAATACAATAAAGAATAAATTGTATTATGTGACTCATTTACTTCTATTTCTTTCTTTGTGATAAAAGTGCCAAGCCATACCGCCCAAAATTCCAAATAGATTGAGTGTTCACCAAGTGTGAAATTTATGATAAAAAATTTAATACTAAATTGTACATACTGAATTTGTTTCCTGCTTAAAAATTACGGTACAAGGCTATTATCTTCTCACTTGGTAATTTAATCCTTTACAATGATGTAGAACCTTGAGATTTGTACAAGGATGGAAGTAAAACAAAACGCTGTGAAATGCAAGAATTACAGACTTGTAGGGTTAGATGGGACCTAACAATGCTCTGTCCAGCTCTCTTATTTTATGTTAAGTGTACACTTTTCACAAAGATTGAAAATACACGTCAGGATAATGCTATCTCTCCTACAATTCCTCCGAACTATTACTCAGAGTGGCTGGTAAAGGCATTAGCAATGAATGTCATTAATTTACTGCTGCAGAGGCCAGAAGCAACATACTGAAATAAAAGTGACTTGTTGATCAACTAGAGATGCAAGGGCAAAATAGGCTGTGCTTTCACATTTGCAAGTTATATTAGTTGAAGCAATCGAAAGGCAGAAACTGTAGCATCTTTGAGGCATAAATGAATTCATCTTCTCTAATGCCGTGGCAACCAGAACACTTACCATCAACTCTAATTCTTTTTCATCATGTTCATCATGTTCCCTGTTTATATCTTTTACATTCTGGTTACCGGCTTCCACGTCTTTCTTATCCTCATGAGAACAAACAATTGTTGGGATATCAGTGTCTGAAAAGTTAATATAATTGTACGTTTGTAAGATTGTTATAATTGTAGACTTTACTATAGCAATGTTTCAAAAAAATAAATAGAATATTACCTTTAAACTTTGATTCCTCAAAATTATTCTCTTCTGAAGTTGATGATTCTTCTTTACTGTAAAAAAAAAAAAAAAACAGTGTGTTATACATGTATTCTTAGGCTATACCTCCCAAGTGTTTTTATGTAAGAGGAAATTAAAGTCAATAGCAAGTGAAATAAATATTTTTATTTTTAAAAATTTTTATATTTTTAAATAAAATCAGTGATATATAGAATGATGTAATAGTAAATATTTGCTGTAGAAAAACTATTAAATAATTCATACATGCCATATTTCTAAAGATTATGTCATTTTTATAAAATTTATGCAAACAAAATAAAAACACATGAATTTAGATCATTCCTTCATTCCTCAATTTGTTTTTTTAAAGTGAGACAATTTTTCAATTGCTTTACATGATAACATTTTATAAAATGATATTCCATTTATATAATTTTAAATATTTCAGTTTATTTTTTATTTTGCTTAATTTTTTATTTTAAAGAGAAAAAAGATAAACAATGAAACTGAGTTTCAAAACAGGTTAGTGAGAATGTTAACTGTTTCTGCAAAAGAGGGAGCATTGTACAAACTACTTTAAAACTGAAAAACAGCTAAATTTATACTTAAAATATTTATACGTGTATTTCCATTAGTCAATGTTACAATCAAGAATTCAGATCATTCATATGCACATATGCAGACATATATCTTCTTTTTAAAAAAAGATTCAAATTGCATCCCCTTTTCTAGTATATTTTTCATACTAATTAAAATAATTATTCTATTCAAATATAATCTGCTTGTAGGTAGATTTTTGGGATCATCAGAATTTAGACTTTTTTCATGTCACCCAGTAGAAGAGATAGTATTACTAAAGATTTCCACTTCATGTAGTTATACTATACATCAGTGTATCAGAAATAGTTGGCTCAGTATCTACATTTTTCTGTATTGTCTCAGATGAATTTTCATCTTATGAATTTTTTGCAACCAAAGAAATATAAAAAAATTGGCAATAAATTTGTGAAATAGAGCCCAGTTTTCACTGCACAAGCAATTCTGTTACACATCCCAGGAAAGCTGGTTTTATTTTAACAATTTATAAGAAAACAGAAAACTCTTCTACCTTGATTATGTAGGAAAGTCAATTACTTTTGTGCACATTTATATTTAGTTTTAATTTTTTTTTTTTTTTTTTTTTTTTTTTTGTCTTTTTCCATTTTATCAGTACCAGGGATCGAACTCACAACTGCCTGCTTGCAAGGCAGGCACTTATGCCGCTGAGCTAAATCCCCAGCCCCATTTAGTTTTAATTTTACAAAAAACATTTTGTATCTCCAATTAAATCAAAACAAAAAGTTGTATTTCTATCTAAGTACAATTTCACTAGAAAAATATATTTTGCATAAACTACACAATCTACAGATTTATATTGTTTAGTGAGGTTTGTGATTATGCAAAGATTTATTTTAATGAAATCCAAGTGGAAGCTTAGTCTACTTTTTGTTTTCCCAGTACATAATATTTATGTGTTTAAAATACATATAAACTTATGAAACAGCTTTTACTTGTTCCTGTTTCTTCTTTATTCCCATAACAACGCTAAAAATCTCAGTTTAGGAGAACTGTGATGGCTATTCAAGTTTTGGTTTGTTTAATCTAGTAGAAATGCTCTTATTCTTCTAATTCAAATTTTAAAGTACTTTCATTTTTAAGAAACTATTAAGTTAAAATGGAAAGAAACTACTTTTTAACTCATTTGGGGAACAAATGATTAGAGATACAAATATGCTTCATTTTGGCAGTGTCTTATAAAAACATTTAATCATGAAAATAAAGAAGAAAAACTTTACATTCTTGGTATGTACAAGAAAGAACAGTAGAAACAAGTGAAACTTAAATATTATATCAAATTTTCATGTAAAAACTGATAAAAAAAAATGGGAGATCCTTAAAGGGAAAAGAATAAAAATACACCACAAAATATGAAGGAAGAGAAAAACTTTTAAATATACCATGTTCATAGATAGGAAGAAAATATGAAGACATTTGTTTTCCTCCAAAATGATGTATACACTCAATTCAAAACTAAAAAGCACTTTTTCATAGAATTTGAAAATATGATCCTGAAGAGAATAATAAATATTTCTGAGTGATAAAAGAGAGGGAAAAGGAACCTGCCTTAGGCATTTTCAAGAATTCGTCTGAAGATTTAGATAAAAAAAAAGTGTTAAATTGGTAAAATAACAGATATGCTAATTACCGAGACTGTAATGAGAGCCTAGTAGCAAAAAAACCGAGATCTCTATAATGTTGGGTTTGGCAAATGCAGCATGTCACACAATCAATACCATAAAATAAGTGTACACAGTTCTTTCTTTCCTCCCTTTTCCTTTTACCATTTGCCAACTTTATCATTGCATTGTTTTCACTTCTTTTTCCATTAACCTTTAATTTAAAACTTTTATCTAGTAATTTAGAACACATAGATTTTTTTTATACCTTCTAGGGCTTAAATTATTACTCTTTCACAATTTAGGACAACGGTTTTAAATCTGAAGTCAAGTAATTAGACACAATTTTTAATTACTATATATTTAGAAATTAAAAATCATTTTGTGGAGCAATAATTCCCTTTACCATAAATTATATAATGTAGTCACGCATATTGTATAATCATAAGATAGGCCATGCATTCTTCTAGCAGATACTTTCAATTCTGCTATGAATCATGAATTATAATAAACACTGGAAATCAGAGATGAATAATCTTTAGGATCTTATCTCAAGGACTATAACAGTTATAATAAGTGATATATATCGTCATATGCAATGAGATATACGATGGCGATTTTCTTAGTGCTGAGAAAAGAGGACAGAAACAAGGAGGCCAATGTCAACAGAATTGAAGTTTTTCACAAAAAAATAATGTTCTAAATTAGTTTTGGGGATAAGTGAGATACTTAGAATTAGAAAAGAGTGATGATGTCATTGTAGGTGAATAAAGAACAGGCAGTTAACAATGAAAACACAAAGAAAAAAATACATCCAAGAACAAGATGTAAGATGTTCGGAGGATCGGATATGATTGGAGGAAGAACATCAGTGCCTGGACTGAAGCTGTTTGAGCCAAACTGTAAAGGACTTAAGAAGCCAGATGAAATGGGATGAACTCTTTGGGTATTTTTTAACTGATGGAGTAATGGTGGGGAGAAAGAGACAGACAGAAAGACAGAAAGAGAGAGAAACAGAAAGAGAACAATAGAGAGACCGAAAGAGAAAGAGACAGAAAGAGGAGGAGAGACAGAGAGAGAGAAAGAGAAGGAGAAGGAGAGAGAAGGAGTGGAAAATTTCTTTTTAAGCATCTACTTCTAGAGGTAATATAAAGGAAACCCTGGATGGGTCACAGTGAAGCTAGAAGACCAGTCATGAGGCTGTGCTCTTTAAGCACATAATGATGAGGGTTACAAATGCCAGTAAGATAATGAAAAACAAAATCATGTCATTTACAGAAAATGGATGGAATGGGAGATCATCATATTAAAAAAAATATATTGTGCATTTTCCTCACTGGATCTACTAAATTAGTATCTTTGAGCAGAAAATGGGAATCTGCATTTTACCGGGAACCTCTGAGTTAGGTGCGGTGCATTAATGTGTGATCTAACTGCAGGTATAGAAGGGCTACAGGTTAAGTGCAGTAAGTCAGATGAAGAAAGTTAAATATAACATGATTTCTTTTGCATGATAAACTTAAAATGTAAAGAAATGAATGAATAAAAATACAGTGATACATCAATTGCTTGCAACCAAAATCATATAATGAATTCTGCAACCAGGATCATGGAAAGAATTACATCTAGGAACCGAGGTACCACATAAAGCAGAGGTGACAGGAAAAGAGAAAGTAAGCACTTAGAGTTATGGGAGGGGACAGGAACTGAGAAAATTATGAGAGAGAGGAATAAAGTGATTGGAAACCATCTAGATAGGGTCCATGTGTGTACAGATTCCCCACAATGATCTTCATTATTCTGTTATGGGAGTATGCACTAACAAAATAAAAATTTTTAAAAAGAGAGAACTAAAGATGGGGACTATACGCATATCCTGAAGACCACAGTAACACAAAGCAGGTAATACCTCATTATACATTTTAGCAAGACACACTCCACTATGCTAAGTGCAGCTCTGTGAACAAAAGAAAATAACCATGTACCTATTTCACACGTACCCAAAGGCAAAAGGAACACATTAAAGAACAGATTGATCTTACAAGCCTTGCAGAATAAAATAAGGCATTGATGGGGAAGGAGTTAAAACTTAGTAAATTAACAAACAAGCGCATGATCATTTGTTGAGTCAGCTGTTAAGCATTAAAAATTTGACTGTCACACACTCTTTATCTCTAAGATGGATCTAATATACAGAAAGTTTATTTCCTATTTTGGCAAAATTCCTCTAATTCACAAAACATTTTGATCTGGAATAGGCCTCATACTTGGACCGTCCCATCCATCATTGTATAGGAAAGCACTAACAATATGGCAAATGTGCAAATTATGCAGGGCCAAAATGGTAGACTCATGTGTCTTAGTCCACATGCCAACACACTTTTGGTAGATGGTAAATGCAGGGTAAAGAAAAGCAGAAAGACCTGCATGAACATCTGTCTTTCCTCTTATTGAATATTTACTAAATAAATTGCCAAGCATGTAACGGCAAACCAGATACTTAACTTCCCTCTGCTTGATATTTCTCCCAAATATTGCTTCCTCATTACACAGAGAAACTATGTGGCATAGTTTTCGACATATGGAAGTGTTTAATAAGTTTATTGTTGTTACCAAATATCTCACTGATAGTTTTTATCTTATAATCCAAGTCTCACCTTCTCCTTCTACTTTGAATTTTCTAAAGTTTTAGTATTTATCAAATTGTCTCATGTTTACCTCAGAGCTCGTCTAAAACTTGCAGTAAAACTTGCAGTCCATAGTAACATAGGTACGTAGACTTTTAAAATATACCTTTCCAATCAGAAAATCAAACTCCAAAGAAAAATAAGTAGATC